TTGTGCACTTTTTGTCTAGTTTAAAAAACAATATGTTTGTAATAAATTAAAGTTTTGTATACAACTTTCGATTTATTTAAACAATAAAATATTTAACATTTACATACATTTAACAAATTACTTTAATCTCACATACATACTTGTAACTAAAGCATTGATACTGATAAGCGTAAATTTAACAGTATGATTACGTAAACTAAGTTTTAAAACTAAAAACAATAAATATCTACAATTGCGTTTGGCATATCGAAAAATAAATTACGTTTCAAAATTAATACCAATATTTACATGAGATATAATATATCGACCTCTCCTACGTAATATCGTAATAAATAGGCGCATTTGTTGTTGCAATTGCAAATAAATAACTTTATTCTTATGTAGGTCTATTATACTCAGCAACAAAATTATAAAGCATTAGAAAGCATAATGCGTATGAGTCATACTAATCTGCAAGACTTTAAGAATCGCAGGTATTTTTCATTAAAATTAAATACATTAAAACGTTCCCTTGTAAAGTTGCGTATTTGGGCTTACGATTCTTTACGTTGAAGCAATGGATATATGTATATGTTTGTACAGAATAGGATCTTAAAATTTAGTATAATAATTTATTTATTTATTTATTTATTTATTGCATATTTATCAAATTGAATAACAAATTTTTTTTTTTTTACAAAAATAGTGGGTTATTGGCCTTTGTCCAGCAGTGGCACAGTATAGTTTTTTTTAAAGTGGTTTCTTATTACCTATGTATATTGTTATGCTAAATAGGGACGGACAGGAGCACCGCGTCATGGCGAGGCTACTGCGGGAACATTACGTCTTGTGCACAAGCGAACAGAATAAGGAAAATCCTAGGCAACTCAAATTCAATTGAGCTAGGTTCAATACGCAAAATAGACAACACATACACAACTTTCCCTGCGGAAACGGAGAGAACCCTACTGGAAACACATTTCCCAGGATGTAAGTTCGTCCAAGACGACAGGTGCGAAGAAATGAACCACAACACATCGATCCATAACTGGCGATACGCTGAACAAGTAGTAACATACGAAAAGACAAAATGGGCAGTAAACACCTTTGAACCATACAAAGCTCCAGGTCAAGATGGAGTATTCCCAGCACTCCTACAATGGGGCGGGGACACACTGGTCCTGCACCTGGTCGACATCTTTCGGGCCTGTCTAGCATTCAGCTATGTGCCCCAAAGCTGGCGAGAAGTAAAAGTCATATTTATACCGAAACCAGGAAAAAACGACTACACTGACGCGAAGTCCTTCAGACCAATCAGCCTCACATCGTTCTTCTTGAAAACATTAGAAAGGTTATGTGACAGAGAACTGAGGGATGGTGCGCTTAAGAACATACCATTACACGGAAACCAACATGCATACAGCCAAGGCAAATCCACTGAATCGGCCCTGATAGAAGTGGCCCTCAAAAACAAAGCAATCTGCCTAGGCACCTTTATAGATATTGAGGCGCCTTCGATAAAACCAACTTCTCCAGCATACAATCAGCGCTGAGAAGACATGAAGTGGATGAAGTGCTGATCAGTTGGATTAGCAATATGCTAAAACAAAGAACAATAAAAACAACTGCAAATGAGACCCCATGGGCCATAGTAGCGAAGGGGTGGGGGAAGGGGTTCTATCCTCCATGTGTTAAGTTAAAACGGATTGTTTTCGTGTACTTTCGTCATGTTTTCTAAGTCCACAAGGACATAATCGCGTACATTAAATATGGATTTTTTATTTAATTACCAACATTCCTGAATTTAGAACTGGAAGTGTAACTAAGTTCAATACTAAAAGAAACAATAAGCTGTCACATCCCCATTGCAACTTTGCAACAAAATAATATGCAGAAGTGAACGAATCGTCCATGAGGCGCAAATTCACCTGCTCGAAAAGCAGCCGGTTGATATATATAACGTGCTTACATACTCTCTACCATTTTATATCACATATTATGGCCACCGCGAAAAATGTGTTTAACAAACCTACAACTATGGTACCGGGTCAAGAGCACGTAAGTTTGACACTTAAGATTTATATTCAACTGTATGCAATGTTCGATAAGAACATCCAAAATGTCAACCTTAATGTGCTCTTGACTGTACAGTACCCATAAATCCGAGTACTAAATAAATAATTATAGTTCCTACATTGCGTCGTCATGTCTTAATACAATACTGCAAATAAAACAATTAAGTCACGTTCTGAAGCTGAAAGAATCGAAACGTCTTGTTTACGTTACTGCTGGAAAGTTATAACAATTGTAAAAATGAATGGGTAGCTTGTGGGGCGTCAGTGAAGCACCGGCAAAAAGAAACCTGTGGGACCGGTCGTATGGCGACGCTTTTTGTTCCCGGCCGCCGCCGGTCGGCCGACCACCGCTCGCGCACAAATAAACGATCCACTGAATGGAAATAGACGATTACAATCAAAACTGCCGCTATTATTCTGTAGTCTTGAGTCCCCACATTATAATTATTATGTACTTATTTTCCGTAAATTCCGATCTACCTTTACATTAACGATGATTAAACGTTTATCATTGGATGCAGAACCGCGGCCATGCCACCGGGATTGCAATTGTCTTGCCATTATGTTATGTCAAGTAATATTATGTCTATCGAATACTTCCAGCTATATGTATAATCGCCGTTTGACTGTAAAATGTTACTTTATTAGTTGCTAGAATACTATAGACATTTCTTGAGAATTGCAAGGTACAAACTGGGGTACAGAAAGTTTCAAAACAATATCAAGTTTCTGGAACGAATCACTGCAATTACGAGTATTTTTTAAACGATTTTTGGCGACGTTCCTTTATTCAATTAATCAGCCACGTCGTTGTTGCACTTGGGTATTTTTAAACAATTAGCTTAAAATTAGTACGTTCGAGTGACAACTACGTATAGGAGGCAATTCTATGTATTAAGGAAATACAGATGAAGATAATTTTAGATGTGGGATTATCATGTTGGCATAGGTTAGCGTTGGAAACGAAACTATTTTTCGTGATCTAAATCGCGTATAATTTTAAATAGGTCACGGCAGGTTGCTTGGAGTCGCGAAATCCTAAGATATCATTAGGTTAACGTGCGTAAAATAGTCAACACTAATAAATAAATACTAGGTCATGTAATCATCAGGACATGCAATGTGTACAGTCAAGAGCACGTCAAACTTGACACTTTGTACTTCGGACCGTTCTTATCGTAAACGGCATAACAGAGTTAGATTTAAATCTTAAGTGTCAAGCTTGACGTGCTCTTGACCCTGTACGTATTAGTTAGTGATATTTTTTCCAAATAAATAACAAACGTAAAAATTGACGAGAAGAGCAGAGAGCAGCGGTGGTCTCGCAATAAAAACAATTTTTGCTCGGGTTAAAACTTGTTACGAGAACATGTTCATTGTTTCTCAGAACCACGTTTCCTGTAACTGGTAGCTCATCAATAGGTAGTAATATAGGTACGTATCCGTTTTCTTTTTGCCACACTAATATAAATTACAGACAAGACGCGAAATACAGAAAAAAAATGTTCAATGGGCGCTTTACTCATGCACATTACCTATTTTACGTTAGCCTTTAAATGAGTACTTTTGCAGAAATCCATAAGAGAAGGCCTGAGATGAGGCAGCTATTGGTATGCAGTGGAGGCGGGCGGACATGCCAAGGCAGGCAAGCGAGCAACATATTTACTCATACGCCTGCGGCGTAAATCACCGTGCATCTATTTCGAGTGGGCCGGTGCGAGCACTGCCGAAGCGGGCGGAGGCGGGGCGCAGGCAGACACCGATGTCGGTCTGGCGCCAGAAGGATTCCCCAGCGTCCCGCTCCCCACGCCTCACTCGCCCGCAGCCCTCCGCCCCGCGCGCTCGAGGTCACGCGTGTGCCCGTGCCATCGTACTGTCGCCATACCAGCTTCTACCTCTCCTCTCTTCACTTAATGTCGTCAGTGGCTAACGCACATATATACAGCAATATGTACAGCTGCTTGTGCGGACGACGACGTCACCTGTAGCCACGCTACCAATTCTCTTATATTAATTATATTATATGTCACGTAATAACCACTTCACAATAACCACATAATTCGTTTCGGTTTATATACAATCCAAATTGCAAATTGTTATGGTCATTTGTTAGGTCAATGGTGACATGGCTAAGGATAACCCGAATTATTTTGTAATTATTTTATGAAATTTTTGCAATTCATCTAAAGGGCTAACGAAGGAGACTTGTCTATGTAGTCAGGTTTTTAAATAGGTACAGGTGTAAAACTCGAAACTAAATATTGATGTCCGCGTCTACCCAATAGTGACTCAATATAGGGATCACAGTCCGCAAACCAGTTAGTATAACCAACCGCTTAATATGGATACATATGTCGTAAGGTAGAGAATGAACTGGCACTAAAAGGGTTGACTAGTGTATTGAGATTTTGTAAGTTCGTATACAATAAGAGTAACTTGAATTGTTAAAATCATACCTGTTTACTTGTCAACATGATGTGACTAAGCCATGTTTTCTAAAATGATTTTTACATAGAGACACAACAGTGTACCGACAGATAAGCATACAAGTAGATAAATATTAAACTCACACATTCATTCAAAAGTAATGCGCGTGAAACTCAAATATGAGAGAATAATTAACATCACAAAGTTTAATCTTCGCATTACATGCAACTGTAATAGAGTGACACATTTGAGAATAATATATTTCTTCCTCGTTTATGATGTGTTGGATGACCAATAGCTTCAAGTTTTGAAAGCTAGCTTACTTAGTATTTTGCGTTTCTATTACCTACATGATTCAACGGTTCTCTGTAGCTGGTTTCAACTTTGAAATTTCCCACTTGGAATAATTAAAAAAAGAGACAACATCATATCGACAACATCGAGGCTATAAAAGCATTTCTATTCTCTATACATACATGTTATATTTTTCTATTCATATATACACTTGAGGGTACTTACTCGTCAAAAGTTGGTAGATAGTCTTCTTCGAAGGACCATAATTGAGCGATCTTCCCGTCCGCCGCGCCCCGCGCCCCTCCCGCGCGCCTTGGTGCAGGGATGCCCTGCGGTCATTGGTTACTCATACATCTTGCAAAACCTTTACCCGTTCCATTACACTAGTTTCAACTTTTGTTTACATAATAATAAATGTCACAACACTGTCTTTAGTATATCTGATGAAGTATCAATTGCGTAAATCTCAAAGAGTAAACATAGAACCGAATAAGATAATAGATATATTTAAATATAAAACGACAGAACACGTAAGACACGCGCAGCGTGTTGTACTGCTGATCACAGACAGTGAGAGAATGAATACCTTTCTATACTGTACTACCTACCACATACAGATACATAAACAAATGTAAGGCGCACGACATAGAAGTATAGAACGTATGACGCACACACGTTCATATAATCAAACGGCACGGCGACGACAGCTCTCGTTCAGTGGCGGGCTTTACAAATTTAACGTTAGGTATGAAGTCATTCAAGCGTTTCATCACATTCATTTTTCATAGGTACTTTTGATTGATTTGTTATTAAAAGCACTTTTTGATATTTTGATAATAATTCTTCATTGCGACGTAATATGAAGTGATGAAATTTTATTTAAGTCTACATTTATGTAAGTACATTATAAACATGTTAGCAAATGACATCACAGCTAATATAGTTAGTAAGAATAGCGGAGTAACGCAGTTTTTAACATTGAACTGCATTAAATTAGTAACAGAAATGTTGCATACCATATATGTAGCGATCTCCTGGGATTTGGAAAACAATGTAATCCGTCAAAAAACTACATTAACATAGCTAGATGTATTCTTGATATTTATAACGAAAAATAGGATATAATAGAAAAATGAATAGGAATATCGGTGAAGTACTAAAGATGAAACAATTTTTATACTTATACATATTATATGTAAAATATTAAAACATTTTATTTAATTTGTTGTAAGTAATAGTCTTTAACAAATTCCTATAATTGAGTTTGTGTACACTCCGATTGAATCGAAATGTCCGAAATTTCTGATAGATGGCATCAGAGAAACCATCTCAGCAAAGATTTTGTGATTGTAATATACAAGAGAGGTGTACTTGAACAAGGGAAAAAAATAAATGTTTATACTATGTATACAGTTCACAAAAAAAGTGCATATTCAATATATGCAACTGCATGCAGTCTACACTGACTGCAAGCAGTTATTGCTGCGCGCATATATCAGGAGCTCAATGTATTTGTTGACATCGCAATGGAAGAGCAGGTGTTACTTGTAGGTTGTAACTGTATTCTTTTATGATTCCAAATATGCTGACTTTACTTTGTACTAAGTAAATATATCATTATGAAATCGAAATCCTCCATTTTCATTCTAAATAAAATAAATGTAAACAAAAACGCCATTACAAAAAAATATTTTTAGAATTGTGCAAATGTGAAATAAATCCATCGAAAAAATTTACCAATCGTGGTTTTACTTTGCGTACGTTTTAGTCGTTACCTTTTGCCGTTGCTGAAAAAATTAAGCTGTTTCAGATACAAAAATCATACAATTCTTGCTTTTGATTCTGACTATCGTTCGCATCGATTGCACTCGACGCCTGCAGCTGAAATCTCGACTACACTGTTGACGAAGTCTCAACTGTGCATTAGCCGCAAACATGCAGTCCATATGTCATCAGCCGCAATTAAATAATAAATAATAACGCACACACTCAACATAACCCCGCACTAGGGAAACCCTGGGTCGCGGGTGCCATGGACACACATAGACAACCACAAATTACACCCAAACTCACGAGAGAAATAATTGTAGGACATACAAATATTTCTCTCGGCCCGGGAATCGAACCTGGGACCTCTGCGGGCAGTCCGGCATGGTAACCGTTCGGCCACGGAGGCAGTAAATTCAATGCAAGCAAATAATTATATATTATATCCAGATGTTCATTAAAAATTATATTATGTGACTACACACACTACATACATATAAATATACATTACTTAAGTAAGAAAAATCATATTAAAACTAGAACATGATTGATGACTTAAGGATGTTTGGAACCAGTATGCATTGTTAAAAATCAAATACAGTGATCATAATTATAATACCTGTGGAAGTGATGATTATTAACCTAAAAATGTGTAATCCTAGTATAAACGACTAAAATTAGTTAAGAAAAAACCTTTAGAAAAAAACCATTAGTTTATTATCTCCCGAATTATGATATCCATTAAATTTATTTATACATTGTATATAGCAAAACAATTTTCTGTTTTATTCTAATTCAAACATTACTCACACATAACCACAATAAGAATTGAAAGATTTAAATAAACAGTATCATCTTTATATACTGTGGGCTTGTAAAAATTGTCAGGTATAAAACAAAATTATTCCACAGACATCCCAGGATCACCGTCTTCTTTGTCTTTAGGGTTTTCTTTCGGCTTATCGTCCTTATTCTTATCATTGTCTTTCTTTTTGTCGTCTGATTTGTCATCGGAACCTCCGGAACTGGTGGTCTCAAGAGCCTTAAAGAAAGCTTGCATGTCTCCCGTGTTGGCAGCTGCCGTCACTTCCGGCGCGAGGCCGAATTGAGTCATTACTGGACCCATTTGTCCTGACGTCAGCGCTGATGAAAACTGATTCGCCGCCTGAAAACAAGACAGAGATCAAGCGAAATTGGCAAGATAAACAATGTTCGATCGAAAACTTAAATAGTAAAATATCGTGCACACTATCTTATTAAAATTAATTGTTGTGGCCATTTTACTATTTTAATTATTGATAATACATGCAAAAATAAGAGCACAATAATAGAAATACATTCAAAAGCTAAAGTGCGTTAGTATAGCAAGCATACAAAAAATAAAGGTTTCACCAGATGAAACATAATAATTGGGTTCACATGGATAAGTGCAAAAAAAGCACAAAACTGTTGAGGAAATTAGTATGAAATTTAGTCATCAAGGGATTGAGTTTGAACATCGGAATGTGCATTTACAGTCATCGTAAATAAAATCCCGACAAGGCGTAACCGAAAGCAAGTTCGCAATACTTTGGGGTTCACCTGAGCGAACTGCGGTGAGAGCAGTGTGGTCCTTACATCGTCTTGCGGACCGGCCGACGGCGCCGGCGGCAGGTGCGGCGTCAAACGCGCAGCATTAGGCGGCGCTGTTGCCGTGCTCACTACCTCGGGTGACGCCAGCGCCGCTGCTAGGTCCACGCGTGCCCCAGCCGCGCTACCAGAGGTGGTGGCAGCACCTGCGCTCTCACCCGCCGCTCCGGCGACTCCCGCAACTGCGTTGCCAGCGGCCTCGCTATCCGGTGGAGCATTCCCTAGGCCAGAGAAGTAGCGTTGCAGATCAGACAGATATATCTGACCACCTGTAATATGTAACATTATGGTTATCTTTTCTTTTACTGATAAGTGATAATACAATATGATTGCAAATGCAAATAATGAAAGGTAGGAGATGCTATCGTGTTTAAAATAACTGATTAATGCTTTGCAAATGCTTTTCATTGAAGTAAAACTGTAAAGAAAAAAATAGGAAACATATTGAAGAAAGAAATGGTACTGACTGCGAGGCGGTGGCACAGTGCTGGCGGTGTTTGGGGGTGTAGCAGGTGCGTCCCGTGCAGGAGGAGCACGGGCTGGCGTAGCGCGCGCGGGCTCTGCGCGGGGTGCACTGCCGCCGCGCGAACTCGCGGTGCTACCCGCCGAAGGACGCGTGCTCGTGTTACCGCTGTTGCTGCTATTGTTGCTGTACATAAAACTTACATCACAATCCTATCCTGCTTTTTTTTATTTAACACTTTGAAAATAGAGTCATTCTTATCATTATCTCACTCATAATTTAATAATTGTGCAATTAAAGAACAAATTTATTAAATAACATAGCAGGGTTACAACATAGCCAGAATTTTATTCTAGGTGATGGATTGCCTAAAAATAAACATTTCAATCTCATGGGCAACTATAATCCTTGGATGCTCAGTGCGCAACTTGAACTGGGACCCACCATCCATCTAGAAATAGTGTAAGCAAGCTACAAAAACTATTGCAAAATAAATGAGTTGAGTAATACAGAAGACTTGTTATTATAAAATGAACACCTGCAAAGTTTTGCAATTTTCAATAAAACAATACAAGTCACTATCTAAGTCACCATAACCTATACGAGATGGCTAAGCCAATAGTGTTATTATAAAAGTTTATGAACATGTAACAGACAAGCAAATTATTTACAATTGCAACAAATGACAGTCCTGGTCAACAAACTCGCTTTACTTACCTCAAGAAATCACTAACTGTAAAAATTACTTCAATACAGAAATATGTAATATTCCTTTGTTGAAAAGTTTGAACAAAACTACTAAGTATTAATAATATTAATTGTTAATAAACCACACACCCCATGCCAAGTAGTGAAGACAACCCTCCGATCTGGCCGACTCCTCCAAACAGTTGCATGAGCTGCTGCTGAGACATATTGTTGAGCAGATTCTGCAGTTCCCCGTCCTGAGCACCTCCACCACCGCCACCGCGGCCACCCGATGTAGGTGGATTGTTTAGAGCTTCATTAATGCGACGACAATAATCGTCATCCTTATCAGTTTTTGGTTCCTTGAAAGGTATAACACAATAGTAAATATCATTATGCATGTAAATAGAATAGAATAGAATAGAATAGACATTTATTGCAACACCACAACACATAGATACAAAAAAAATATTGATACCACTTAGACAAGCAAAACAAAACAAAAAGACGTAATTAACAAAATTAAAATAAAATAAAATAAGACAATAACAAACAAAGAGCAAAACAGAAAAATAGTAAATATAACAACTACAAATGTTGTATTGTCATGTGTGCGGTTGTGGTGTACGCAAAAGGACTTCATTCAGCTTATGCCACAGCCGCAATTGACTGTGGCGCTGGTTGTCAATGAGCCCTGAGCTGAGATGAGTGACAGACGTGTGTGTCACAAAATAAAATAAACTAAAATAAACTGCTTAAATAATTGCGTATGTGTTCTTTGTACGTTGTGTTAATGCTGTGTTATATTATAGATCACAAAAGTACTTAAATATAGCAAATATATATATACACACATATACCTACTGTGTGCGTTAATAACTTTTAGGGTCATATTCCAGAACTCTACTCAATGCTCAAGACAGGACTTGAGCAGACTTGAGTATGATTTCAAGCACTGGAAAAACGACCCTAATGGCAAGGACTTAAGTATGATTTTCAGTGCTCACTGCAATTCACAAGTCCTGACTTGAGTATTGAGTACAGTCTGGACGTACGACCCTTACTTGGTGTAAGGGGCTGGTGTCCGCAACTCGACGTCAAGGCGCCTATTTTGTGTGTGGAGGAAACTAACCCTGACTAAACTAACTACGACCCTTAGTTTCCCTGTATTCTATTTTTTTCCAAGATGGAGCAACTCATTTTGATCTTACCTGCATCCAAAAGAAATATTTCTTTGAGAATGACTTGAACTTGAGCACATAAACTCTGCCTGTAGTGCATTCACTAACACGAACGAATTCGCAATCGTCAGGAAAAATCAGCAGATCGTCTTCTACTTCGCCAGTTGTTCGATCTTTCCAGCAAAAATGCATCAGGGAATCTTCGCCTTGATACACGTACAATAAGCCCTTCCTTTTGTCAGGGTGTACCATCCTCCCTTTCAGGGTCATCCTACCAGCACGAAATTCCACCAAGTGCTTGTTCCCTCCTGAGCTCCCGCCCAAGCCTGATGTATTACCAAACAATGCGGTGGAGGACATGATGCTGCAAAATGGGTTTTGATCAAGAAATGTATATAAGCTCAAGTGAATAGTAGAAATATACTCAATTATAATAGTTAATACTCACGATTATTTCCTGTAACACAAATTAAGTAACTACGAGTTCACCAGATAAAAAGTGACAACGCAAAATTTTCTTCACCGTTCGCCGATTACATTCCGTTCTAGTTCTACTTATCTAGATGTCTGTGGAAGCATCGTCGATCATAAAAAACATGCTGGGATTTTAAAAAAATACAATAGCCTAATAAACAATATTTTTTAAATAGTCTAGAACTGAAAGTGTTTTGTTAAACAAGGATATATTATTATTAACTATGAGGTAAAATTATTTTATAAGATATATATATGCGTAAAATAGATTTTCTACCTGAGTTTTGTTTGTGACAGCTACTATGGGTTGCTATATTGGAAGAAAATAAAACAACCATAATTTGTATGTATTTCAGCGGAACGAACGGTCTCAATCTACTTTAACATTATAGAATTGTATACCTACTCAAAGACTATATCCAAAGAACAATAACCTATAACAGTATAGGTTCCTGTTCTTTGACTATATCCGATGATCTTGATTATAACTTTTTAATCTGTGGTCTCTTAAATAGCAAATAATTGACGTTTGTAACTTGTTATCGTCTTTAGTCAAAGAACTTTTTCATAGCTCAAATGGATATAAGCATTATTGGTTTGTAATCTAAACCAGATAAATGCTGGGGTCTCGATATTGAAAAGTGATACCGCGTAACACCTTTATAAAGATGGATGATGACATCCCGTGTATTTTGTGAGCCAGTGTTTTTGACAACGTGCGTTAAAGAGACCTATCAATACTTGTGATTCATTATCAAAGCATCAAAAAAGCTAATTGAGTACACCTGTAGAAGCTGGGGTTATAAAGTTGATATAGGTTATGTTTATAACATTGTCAGAACAAATCTATGTTCGTGGTAGCAGAAAACAACAAGTTTTCAGTTTGTTCCGAAAAAGAATAAAGAACTTCCCAAATCTACCAAACTCTGTCACATTCAATATAACTTATCATGTTCTGCAGAAATAAAAATGAATAAAAATTAAATCTGCCCAAAGGACAGAAATCTGCCACACATCCTTCTTTAAAATATCGCATCGGGCCTTAACTAATTTCCATCCTCTAGGTATCGGGCAAATATTTTTTTGCCTCAAGAACCGACAGACATTTTTTGACAGCAATGAAATAAGTATTATAGATAGCGAGGTATAAAGACTATTTTTTGTATACCTACATATGAAATATTTCTATTGGTTCTATTTCATATAAATAATATAATACAGAGATGGGAAAGAATGAATTTTAGCGTACAAATAATAGGCTTTATTGTTACGTTATGCTTTGTTAATTACACGCACAACATATATTTTTTCAAATGTAGATCAACCCAGGGTGACAGTATCTCTTTAGATGAGTAACCATCGATAGAATATAATGCGGCGATTAGTGTTGGGTCATTTTGAAAAATTCATATGTTTCCGAAAAATACATTGACTTACAAATAAATGGACGACGAGTCTAATACAAAAACCACGAAAAAAATGTCCCAAGTCAACCTATTCGAAATTTAAATTGTAATGTCATCGCAGTATCGCGCTGTCAGTCGAACAAATGAAGACTAAAGCGGAGTTTGGCGCTCTGTATACGATTTTAGCGCCTTACAAGTGCGGACACTTTTTAGCGCGGACCCGACGTCCATATAATTGTAAGTCAATGGAAAAATATATATTTTACAGAATATTTGTCCTATATTTTTGCAATTTAACAGTTGATACCGCCCAAAACTTAAACATACTGAACGACAACGATGAAGCGATTATAAAGATTGTTTTTTGCCTATGATTCTTCGTTTTGTTGTTGTCCAATCATTTTAAATATTGTTTTATGTAGCTTGCTTTAAGCTATACATTTTTATTTTATAATTCACGCCAAATAAAACTTCTAAATTTATATCCATACGTAGAACATAATATGAGCCTTCGAGTAACATTTCTCCAGTTATTTTAAAAGCTTTTCCGGAAAAATTACACTATTTTTCATTGACCTATATTTTTTTACTTTTTAGTGATTACTCATTAATTCCTGAAAATATAAATTGGCAACACTGAATCGTATTCGTCAAAAGCGTTTTACGAACGACTGACGAGTGAGTGTATGAAAATATTCTTTCGTCGCGACAACCACCATAATTATTGGGTTCTCCAGTTATTAAGTGTGCCTCAGGGATTCTGTTGGAGTCTCATATCTGCTAAGACTGAATATTCATCCATTCAACCAAAATGAGCGGTGTACAAACAGGTACGTCGAGCAACCAGTTGTATTATTTCAACTCTACTTTCATGTATACGCATCATTCTAGTCAGAAATTAACATCTCTCACATTCCGTGGATAGTCAGTTAACATTCGATTATGTTTAGTAAGCGTTCAGCAAGACATTTACGTTCTTTAACGAAAATATTGACTCTCCATCTGCTTCTGACTCACATTGCCCTTTTGGGTGACTTATTATCTTTCATATGTACGAACTAACAAGTAAAAGTACATGTTTAATGGAATATTCAATTATTCGTTTTAAATAGCTATACAAGCACAACATTTTACGGCTAAGTGCACATGTTGTTGTCTTACGGTCGTATTCCAAAATTCTGCTCAATGCGCAAGTCGGGACTTGAGTATGATTTCAAGCACTGGAAATACGACCCTAATGGCAAGGACTTGAGTATGATTTCTAGTGCTTTAAATCATACTCAAGTCCTGACTTGAGCAGACTTGAGTATGATTTCAAGCACTGGAAATACGACCCTATTGGCAAGGACTTGAGTATGATTTTCAGTGCTCACTGCAATACTCGAGTCCTGACTTGAATATGTCCCCAAGCCTCGTATTCTAGAACTCTACTCAATGCTCAAGTCAGGATTTGAGTATGGTTTAAGCATTCGAAATAATACTCAAGTCCCTGCCATTAGGGTCGTATTTCCAGTGCTTGTGTTTCCATTGCAATCCTGACTTGAGCATTGGGTAGAGTTCTAGAATACGACCCTTAGGATGTTATTTTCGATTAATATTCGCTTATATGATTTAGAAACAGTTTACTGGCTTATTTATTTTGTTTACTTAACTTAATTAATCATAAATTTTTTTAAGCATGAGTAGTGTGTTTACTGTAATATCATTTTTAGAATAAACTTTGTATAATTGCATTAGATACATACCTGCATAACCCAGATAAAATGGGTAATATTGATTCATCAATATTTTTTATATTAGATAGATTTCACACCCTCTTCCCAGGGAAGTGAGTAGAGATCACAGATGATTGTCAGGTTTGTAGCAAATTGAAGGCTGTGGTTTCAGCCCAATCTTTTGCTCTCTCTGTTGATTTTAATAAAAGAGACAACTGTGCTTTTAGATCCCTTTAATATTTTGTTGAATGTAACAAAAGTGCCAATTAAATTATATAATAACTATTGTAATGCAAGATAAAATACTCTTTACACTATTTGAGGTTTAAAACATATCGTTAGACATTACCTGCTTCAAATATTATCAAGTAACCAATTCATACTACTAATTATTGATGCCCTGCATAGGTATTTAAAATTTGCATCCAAATAAGTATCTTTTAAGGTAAATATTAAAACAATTATAAAATATATAGAATAACTATGAAAATATGCTACTAGTCATCAACTGTTAAGTGCAATGACACTGATAAGATAACTTTCTATGCAGCTTTTTATTTTTAAAAGAATATAATTCTTTCTATTTATTATACTTAAATACAAGTAAATGTAAATAACTTTAATGACAAATTTTCTGTTTAGTATGTGCCACATTTATTTATTACATATTTTAACCTTCAAAGTTATACAAAACTGTAACATAATAGAAATTAACATTTAGATAGTAAAATTTATTATTATTACAAGTTCACAATAGAGAATAAAGATTGTAATGATCAAATAACATTTTTTCAGTTTTGATTGATTTATTTATTCTTACAATGCAATACAAACACTTTTAATTGCACACAGAAACAAAATAGACAAACAAAGACAAATGACAGCATTCAAATAAACCTTATTGCTAGGGAACAGTCCCCGTTCTTTGCCTTAAGAAAACGTTAATTTGATATGCTAATCACAACTACAATATGTGTATATTGCATCAACAGCCTTAGTTTCCTTTTTAATTTTATAAACAATTAAATCTGTATGTGACAACCTTATTAACTAATTGGATCATAAATAATATTATTTAACAGCATATTTATTTTATTAAACATCACATAATTAATTTCTTGCAATCTCTGTGATTACATTATCTATCCACTGTAAATAAATATTTTCAGTGATTCTAAATGATATCTTTTTATTTTTACATTGAAGTATATTTAATTTCAAAATAGTTCTATACAGGTTACAGACTTACAGTACAATAGAACTTGGGAAGTAGTGTAAGTATGACTCATGTTTCATGATTGCTTTTCGTGCAATCTGAGTTTTTGTGATATTTCGACAAGTTACAATGACGCAACTTCTCTTTATGATGGTCCAGCGTACACGCCGTTCGTTCGCTGCCGCCGCCGCCGGCGCAGTCAATAAACCCTGACCGTACAAGGTGAGCTCGATTCGTGCCCGTCGTTTTATTCCTTTCGTACTGTTTTCGACCTATACATCGCAGACCTATACCATTACCTTGTATATGCGACACGCAACTTTAAATAAAATATTACTACATCAATAAATTATTAGTATAACGGAGACTGTTGTCAATAATTCAGTTACGTTAGTTTTCCTTGATATTTTGGTGGTCAAGATCACAGTTTTAATTCATCAGTATTGGAGTTCGCGTGGTTGCCGGTGAAAGTGGCAAACACGAGCTCGGGTAGCGGCGCGCGACGGGCGCGAGTGGGCTGCCCGCGGGGCCCGACGTGGCGGAAGAAACGCGTATCATAGCGCGCGCGCAGCGGTCGGAGACTGTAATGTCCTTCGTGCTCAACGTGTTGCGAAAATGTGATATGGTTGCTCAGCGGGACTCGGTGCTAACCATCTGTCACGTATTGTGGATGTGCATATTGTGATATTCAAACACTGTCGCCAATGAGCGTACGTGTACTAGTATTTCATTTGATTTTGTGTTTCTGTAGTGTTTATTTGGAACATGTTAAATTGTCGCGGAAGACGAGGCAGATAGACGCTAGATGTGATGGCGAATGATGGTGCATCAAGCGGCATGGAGCCGACTAGCTTAGAGTATATGGAGGATCCATATTTTGTGCCGCCAGACGATGACTCTACTCCAAGTTTCGATGTCGCAGTGGACGAGTTGGAGGAGATGGAAGAGCTGACCACCTGGCCCCGCGAAGATCCTGAGTCGGATTGGCGCGCGCTTCCTGATCTCGCGGAATCAGCATTGTGTATAGAAACTGAGTTTTATATGGACAATCGACGCCGACGGCTTCGTATATTTAGGAAAAAAATGCGTGAAGTGAGAGTTACATTCCAAGATCTGTCTAAGCCTTACCTTGCCAAAGTCTCCAGCCACACTAATTATAAGAAATTTCTTGGGATCACACCTGGAGGTTAGTTCCGGCGACATGCTGTGGTTAAAATTGCATAGTTATTGCGCGCGTATGCTTGATTACATTATTTCGCTTGTTCACGAACCCAAAGGGGATATTAACTTTCGCGACCAAAACACACATTTGAATTCTAGCACATTGTATTTTTTTTTATGAAAATGATTATCTAGATAGTCTTACCTACATCACACGTTGTAGCACATACGTCTTATTGTAAATTGGTACGTAATAGTGTCGATTGCGCGGACCACCTGTATAACAGTCGTATATATACTAAAGTCAACTCTCAATATAATTATAAATAATTTTTGTCATCTCTATAAACAAGATTTTTTCTCATTCGTCGGACAAGACAACATAGAAACTCTCTTTTCGTACTAACATTTGTACACACATACATAGAATAAGTGAATAGCAGCAATGTAAAAAAAGTTTTGTAACCATTGTTGGTTGAAGACGGAACGCGTGTATAGCCTAAACTCTAGGACTTCTGGACAGCTACCGTACATTATCATTTAACATACTTTTATTCCATTATGACTCGCGAGATTGTATAATGTAATTTTAATTGTCTTACATATAACGTGAAACATTACAGTGTTGTAACTGCTTTTACAAGGCCTCTTACAGCTTCCCTATAGTTTTATGTTTCATTGATGTATACACTCGAAGAATTGCTTCCCTCTTTATTGAAGTAACTTGTTTACCTAGTTTTGTCCATCAGCGTATCAAGGTCAGAACGCTGCGACCAACATAATCAATGTTCACGTGAGTTACATAAATACAATAAGGGCACTTGAACTACTTTTTTTAGTTGGAATCATTAGAATAACCGCGACAATTAACGCTTATTTCCTATAGCAAAAGCGACTTGGGTTCATGAAATTGTATCGACTAATAAACATTCTAAGGGATGGCTTTCACCAAAGTCGAATAAGTCTTGCTAATTACTTGCGTCTTGTTCTTGGAATAAGACTTATTACACAAATACACCCTAAAAGAAATTTAATAAGGTACCGATTCTTGCGACTTCCACTATTCTAATTACGTACGAGTAGGTTGCGTCATCTCCGTAAAAGGTTTCTAACTTCGAAATGTAACTACTTCGAAGAAAACACTGAAATTTGCCCAGCGTTTATCCTGTTGTAGCAATTTTTACCACTTCATATTTTAGAGAGTTTTTGCTGTCGACTTTCTAGCAGGTTACCGGTTCCGCACATTAGTTTCACTGTATAAAGAGCCCTATTCTGTCGACATTGGACTTCCATTCTTCAATGATTTCCAAAACATCGTCCTTCATAATGTCTTATCAAATATTAATGTTTGTTACCTAGCTGAAGAAGCAATGCCTGGCGTGGGGGCGGCCGGAGATGCGAACACCCCCGACGAACTGGTGGGGCTGACGCCTGAACAAGCTGAGCAACTCCGTGCCGAATGGAGCCGCGAGCTTGCGCGCGTTGAAGACGAGATTGCCACGCTGCGCACAGTACTCCAGAGCAAGGTAATATCGCATAGTGATGACTTAATATGATTTTCTAAACCCTCCTTTTATCATCATCATGATGTGGTAAATATGAAATGTCCTAAGTATCTATATGCAACGCAACATACTTCCTAGATCACACTTCATTAAATCGAATTATGTATGAATAACCTGTTTAATAAGATAGTTTCGAAACAGACATTAGCCGTGTGTACACTTATGTGACCTAGAAAGGTCAAACGTGTGTAACAACTGATTTTTTTGATTTAGAAGCGAAATATAATACATAAACAAATAATAAGCTATCCGTTTCTATTCGTCTGCTACAACAAAAAAATGTATTATTGTTTAGCTTGTGCAAAAACAAAGGCGTCTTTAGCAGCTACGCAGGAAAGCTGAAAGAGCGGAACGATAAAACCGAATTTTTTACAAAAATTAAAATTATATATTCATTGAAATGATCTAGAAATATGCGTAAAACGTGAATTACTTTTCTGTCTTACAGATTCGTCAAAGCTCTGAATTAAAACGAAAACTTGGCATCACCGTGTGGAAGGAGATCACCGAAGACGTTAATCAGGGTATAAAGAATGTGAAAGAAAGCCAAGTGTAAGTACACTTGTTACACAAACACAGTACATTATATTCCCACTTTGTCGCACTTTATCAGTAATAAATGGTTTCATTTTTTCTGTTGGGTTAGAATTCATTTCTTGCAGAGGTACTTTGTTACGTCTTTTGCTTGAACTAGTGTGATGCAATGTAGAGATGGTGGCGTGTATTTAGTTTATATTTGGTTTTTTGCATAACAGCTATCAGTCGATAGAAACTCGCGTGTCTGCGCTTACACAGGCTGTGACTGAAGCACCGATGTGAGTACAGTTACTTGACTGTTTTAATTTCTGAATGCGCTTATTTTTTTCGCAGATAGGGCTTAGTTATACTTCTAAATTACTTTATCTATAGTAAATAAAAATGGAACTTAATTAATTTGTTACTCCGCGAACCCAGTGTAGGGTAAATCGTGAAAAATAACTGCGCTTGTGTTGAATATTTTTTCAAGCAGTTAATTTTCCCACCCACCGTTGCATACAATTAATAAAATAAATAACACATGCGCAACTCCAAATATACCCGACACTTGTTTCGCCTATCCACGAGGCATCCTCAGGAGCTGTTGATTGCTCGACACTCGGACGACGAATTCTTCGGTGGTGGTGTTTGTGACTGTAGTTGAGCTTGTGTTATTTATTTTATTAATTTTATGCGGAGGGAAGGTAGGAAAATTAACTGCATGAAAAAATATTGGTTCGCGCAGTAGCAAATTAATTAACTTTCATTTTTAACGTGGACTTCCGCAAAGTAACGCCTGAATATATTAATTTCTATATCTACAGTATTTTAAAGTTGTTCACTAATAACTATTGCAAATACTGCTCAACAATTCGCTTTGTAAGGTCTGACGAGTTCTATTTTGGTCGCCAAGCTATGTACTGAATTAAAAAAAAATAGTTTTAACTGAACTCAATCATTGATACCAAAATAATAGTTTATGCAATCGTTGCATAACGAGGGTTCTTAAAGAAGAGCACGAGATTTAACGGGTACGTGATTTTATGTAATGATTTCATACAATATTTTTTCTACGAGTAAATAAAATAATTAAACAGAACCATTATTTAATGTATAGTTTGTTAACAATCCTTGACAACAAACTCAATTTTTTTTAAATAAATTTTAACTCATTTATTAGGTTTGCAAAGGTTCCACCATACAGCCTTTTCGTACATTTAGACGAATGCCAATCAAACACTACAAAACAAAAAACCAAAGAGATACCATAGAACTGGCCAAGTAGCGCATATATTTTAACCAATATTTTTTTTTCATAGATTTATGGCCCGGTTGCTAAACTTTTAGGGCAATTTAACCAATCAGGAAGCAATATAACGTTTGAGTAGCGTCCTATTTAATATTTTAATTAGCAAAAATACGACCTTCTTTTCTTGAAACTCATAATTCTGTGTACAGTAGGTACTTTAATATTCTTTATAGTTCTGTGTACAGAACTTTTAATGGAATTTTTCAGCTCAGTGACGAGTACCATAGACAATAGAATTTTGATTCAGAACTGAAAAGAGCGCCTAAGTATGGTTTATGAAATTATAATTGACAGATAAAGTACAGGACTAGAAAAATGTATATTAAGTTATATTAATTTAGCGGTTATTTGCACAGGTTGGTTTTGGTATATTTAATGTGGGGTGATTCCAATCCGTTTTGTCCAAGCCAAGTGAAGATTTTGTATAGAATGTTTGCTTAGGTAGTATTTTCATTTACCTGTTTTTACTTCTAATAAGTATTTTGATGTATTCTTTTTCTAATGGCGCTGACATGTTCAGCAATGAATGTCTCAAGAAATTTACTGATTTTCAGCCGTGATCGGAACAGTGTCGTCACGTTTTATTAATCGTTGGACGATTGTCGCTTCTAGCTTGTTCCCATACCACGGCTATCTGTCGTGAGTGTGTAATTTTTTTTTAAATTTATTTATTTTTCAAAAAGTATACATTTTACAAAAGGCTATCTCCCGTCAAACTGGAAACAGTTTGTTGTCGAGCACGCTCTTACACAATTAAAGTTATACATAATGATTAAATAAGTACCTAACAGTGAGAAGGTACTTCCCGTGTAGGTCAAACTTACGTATTTTCAAAACAACAATAACAATTACAATAATTTATAAGAAATGCAAGTTCCTCTTTACAGCAACGAAATGTTTTTTTTCCGTCGTGATCGTTTATTTTATCGTTGAACGACTGTCGTGTCTAGACACGACAGTGTTCCCACTAGATCGTGACGGCAATTTATCGGTTCACAGCAGCCTCTTTGTCGTTTGCTCGACATAAACTCGTCGTTCGTGGTGGGAAGAACTAGAACGACAGACGTTATAGTTCTTCCCATTGTCATGACAGTCTGTCGTCATGACGTCTAAAAGTCGCAAACGACAGGTAATCGTATAGTAGTATATGCCAACAACTTCATTTGAATATACAAGCCACGATACATTAAACTGCACAATATCTGCCGTCACGACATACTCGTAATGTGAACGCGCCCTTAGTGTAAAGAGCCCGAAACTGTTTGTTTGGAATGGGAAAAACAAATATAACGTGATTCGGAAAAATGGTTTCCTTCCCAATGGTGTAGTAATCGCGATAACAGAACAACTCTATATACGTACACAAACCTCATGCTCTTTTCCCATCGGGATATGCATTGACCACAGCTTCGCAACTTGCTGCGATCCTGACACACAACTTTCGCTCCATTAACACGCATCAATGCTTTCACGCACGCTCGTTGGTTTAAGGTCAAGACACCTAACTATTCTTTAAGATCCTTAATTTAGTTGTGATAAGTTCGTCGTTTGTTTTGTTTAAATACAGGGAAGATAAATAACTTACAATATACGATCTGTAACTCCTGTGTCTTAAGGAGTTATGCTTATAACATTTTGCGCCATGGGCAGCCTGAACCCCTTGCCGCTGTTTTCAATGTGTGTTTTGTAGGTGTCATTTGCGTGCGCCCAGGGAAAGATTGGTCCCGTGATAACAAATATTTGTATGTCGCTTTAGTACAGGGGCTTCACAAACCGCTTAACTTCACATTAGCGTGTCGTAATGTTTGTGACTGTAACCGACAGACTGACCGCTTTTGTCGTCGACGCGGTTGAGCAACAGCATTATGTAAATATATGTAATTAACTGTAGTTTATTGTTTTTTGAGGTATTTTAATATAGTTTGAATAAAAGAAAGTGTTAATTTAGCGACCTCGGTGACCCAACGGTCTATACCGTGGGCGCTGGATGAGGAAGTCCCGGATTCGGGACCAAATTGGGAAATGAACTTTCTAAGTCGGTTCTGGTCTGGGTAAATTTCCAAAATTAAATTTTGTGGATGTATTGTGAATGAGTAATTAATTAATAAGAATTGTTCCAATATTGATGTCACATAAAACGAGGCTGATACAGGTGAGGCAATACAGAAATCATATCAGTACTTTGATAAAAATGTTTGATAACAGTATGCACTTCACAAGTTACTAAACAAACTATTTAGGTCTTTATTAAGTAAAATAAACAACGAAGCATTACACGTGGCAATAAAATAAACATTAAGACCCACGTTTGTTTACATTTAGTAGTTGCAGAGCTCCTTGTGAAGGAGTTCGTCCAGGGAAGTACTGCCACCTTATCTATTTCTGCCGCCTAGCAGTAATGTCAACATTACTGTGTTCCGGTTTTGAAGGGTGAGGATGCTGGTGAAATTACAGGCTTACTTGCTTACTAGACTTGTCAAGTTATGTCTCAGAGTGACGGGAGCAGTGGCGGTGCCCCTCAGATCTTTTGCAATTTAAAGCTCTGAGTGGCACTGTAACTGTTATGGACAGGCGTGTAGCTTACCATCAGGCGCACGACTTGTTCGTCCCGTCACTGAATATTATATTTAAAAAAAAGAAATTATAAAAATTCGAAACTTCTTGTAAGAAAATTATAAAAGCTTTTTTCGGATATCGAGTTCTTCCGCTTTCGCGTTTATTACACATTGGAAATGAATCTATTTTTTCGGACCTAAATCACGTTTTTTTTTTTCAAACAACGTTGCGTTTAACCCTTGGCATAATGGCACTAATGTCGGGATGTTTTTGGACAGTGCAGCGCAATAATACGAAAATGCATTTTCGCATGAAACTGCGTCAGAAAAATGCATAAAACTCTGATTAGGTTTAAATTTTACGATACAAATCGTAAAAGTGAGTAGCCCTATCCGAATATTCTAATTAATAATAAAAACTTACCTGATGCAGTTCTGATGAGATGAATTTATTTCGTAAATTTTCTTGCGCCTTCATTAAAGTTGTCAACGTAATTGCAAAAAATTACAACTCATTGCCACTCACAAATCACTATAAGTGTTTAGTCCTCACATTCAAGTGTCTGGGACATAAATTAGGTACTTGAAATTGACCGACTAACGCCGCAATGTTTGTTTATGTTGTAGCTCTGCCGTGTCAGGCGTATATCTGTTAACTTAAGATACATGAGTCACAATAAGTTGGTATTTAGCAGAACCATCTCATAGGTGGCAGCTGTATTCAATACACGACCGAACTTGTGCTAGGTACAGCTGAAGTAACTATCGCGGTGTGTGTTCTCACACGAGGCACTAGCCTCTTGAGAGTCGGATGAAATCAGTGACAATCTATAACAACCCTGTACACTGGCTAATCTGGGGTCAGAACCTGAACTTCGAACGTTCCCGTGCACGCACAGGTTATAGTACCCTTCTCGTACACCTTAAGAATCGGTAGAGATGATCACTATAATTAAAAGTAATTTAGAAAGATATGGTGCTCTCCCGGTGTGTGTTGTCCCTATCTACTGACCCGAGAAATAAGAGGTTCCGGAGAGGCTACGGGCTCTTCGGTAAGACCAGTGTAAGGCAGGCGTCCGGGCTAAGCCCTCCGCCAGTGATATGCCTTCACAGGCATCACTGGCGGACCCGGACGCTGCATATGGACTCGCCGGTGCTTGTGGTAGCTGCAGAGACGAAAATTTTCGTCTGCCCTGGTGGTGTGTGGTTGGGGCGTCTGTACTGTGCGCCACTAACGCATCTTAGTAGCGGTCTAAACGAGGGCCTAAGGCGAGGTGAGTTTACCGTATAGTTGAAAGCTTTGTCCGGAAATTGTCACAGGACACTGCGACAGACATCTCCGCACTAGCCCGGAGAGCTGATAGAGGATGACCTAGACATTTATCCGATCCCTCCAGTGGCGTAGCATCTGGGAAAAAAAACCGCTCCACCACCAAGTGGATATTTGGTAGTGGACTTTAGAGTTAACGGCTTAGTGGTGGCAACCGTTAGTTGTGAAATGCACAACGGGAGTTGAGTCAACAGCTCCGGTACCTATCTGGAAAATAGGCAGGGTATTGTACGTACACCCGGGGCAGCTCACCCGAGAAACTTGCCTTTTGAGAACCAGATGAAGTCAGGTTGTAGTGTCCTTCCTGCATTACCAAAACATTGATATGGAGGGTCACTGTAATCAAAACACACGTTGAAGATACGGAGCTGTCCCGGTGTGAAGTACCTAATGCTGCGTCCTGGAAAGGATGACAAGCTGCCTCGCTGCATTTTTGGTTATGGATTCTATGCATCTGTGCTTAAAAAATTTGCGTGGCAGACCCCGACAAAGGCTTTAGAAATGTCCAAAGAGCTTAGCCAACCCCTTTCATAGCCTCGGTCCAAAAGTGGGAGGCATACACCAGAAGATAATCCGTAGATCGATCTTGTCGGAATCGGTACTGGCGATCGCTGAGGAGATCACTGTCTTTAAGGTATGACGGGCGACTTTTTGTTGTTACCTACACGTTTCAAAGTCTATGTATGGAAGTGACTGAGATAGGTCAATAGTTGACAGTGTCAGATCTGCTTCCATTTTTAGGCTCAAGTTGCACGTTTGCATGCTTTCACGACCTGGGAACTAAACCAGTTTGAAGTGAAAGGCGATACAAGCGTGTGAGAACAGGAGACGATTCAGGCCCACAGTTGCGCAGTGTTGCTGTAGGAATTCCGTCTGACCCGCGATTTTTTTTTCTTTATTTTTTAAAGAGGGTTTTATCTTTATAGATATGTCACCCTCATAGGGGCGATACTGAGGTATTGCAATCTAGGTATTACAAATTTCATAACATTATACAACATCCTGGACTCCTTAGACAAGGGGCTGGCCAAGATACTGTTGCATATGCCTACTCAACACAGCCTTAAGTCCGGAATTATCACATGATAGACGTTTTCTGTTGTCGCACATATCTCACAGTTTGGTGAAGGAACCTTTGACATCAGATATCCGAACTTGTTCAAAGGAACGTGTCCTGAGCGAAGCCTTAACGTCGTAACTAATTCACTCCTGGACTACTAACTTGGGGTCCATTGGGACATCAGAGTATAATGTGTAATACACCATAGCCAAACGCAAGACCTCGACTACAGCATCAACACAAATCAACAAGTCCCCTAAAGAAAACCAAGCCTGTCAGGGATATGAGGCAACGTGAAACCGTATGAGATTCAACGTCTGGGATCCTGATGAGCAACTGACAAACTGGGAAAGGCTTAGCGTTAACGCAAGTTTTCGCGTCGCTCTCCCGGCGTGATCGGTCATGTGGAATGGTAACAGCCATTCTTGATAGTGAGCATTAAAAGCCCCTAGAATGACGATTCTACGTCTCTGGGCGCATGCCGAGCCTCACCAGACGTCTCACTCAGATGTTGGAATGGTCATCTCATGATCTCAAATGGTGTCAACTAGAAGGCACAAAACAGAAAAACTCGGTACCTGCTCCTTGCACACTGTGAAAAAACCATAGGTACAGATTTTTTTCTTCTTTCTGCAGTAGTTTTAATTTATATCGCTTATGCAGTTTATAAACACTTTTTACTAATCGACAAAATACCACTCCAAAATTGAAATTGCAATGAATGGATCTATTTTTTTATTTCAAAGTTCATGCGTCAGTTAATTTTTTTCGTTCACCAATAATTAGTTAATAACTATGTACATACAATTTAAATTAACATTAGCTATCATGCCAATTTCTGGTATCTTGAAGTTACCTGTACTAAGCAAACCATTTTCGCTTGACTTAATTTGAATGGGGAGTTTGTTACGCCAAACTCTGTTATCGCTAACAAATTAAAAAATTAATACTTTTTCAGAGGTCTGAAACATTCCCTGTATTCCTTAGGCTTTAACCAATCTTTTTACGTTTTTTCTTCAATAATTGCATAAATTCTTCAATAATTGCAAAAAAAAAAAGGCAAATTACGAAAAAAAATTTTAAGCAGCTTTTTCTCAAAACTATGTTTCGTGAGATACATCTGACATGGCAGAGCGCGTCATTCACCGGGGCAGAACCACCAAATTTTTTATTTTTTCAAAAACATCAATAATATTTCTATAAAATTCTAGTCCTATTTAAAAAATATCTATATCGCTAGTTTCGTCGTAAACTTTCATTCAAAGTGGTTGTGCTGCGGAGCATTCTCCACGGTAGTACCACCAATAAATATCTATTAGTATACATAGTATAAGCAAATACATGGCATCAAATAATTCTAAAACAATTCTATATTGACCTAGCACCCCAAAACCCTCAATAATATATTTTGAATATACGAACAAAACGGCGCCTCAAAATTTATCCTCGAAGTAGTCGCTAAGCGCCTACAAAAAAGTTCATAGCAAGGACATGAAATATCATATTATGCACTTCCAGGCATTTAGTATGTTTGACGTAATTCCACTTACGCCATTCTTCCATGAGGGATGCGATATGTGTCTAATATGAAAGTGTGCTAATTATTATCTAATCTTATTACCATTCAGATACCAAAAAACCGAATCTGTGATAAAAACGACGGCGGAGAAGACAACCTCGATCCTTGGCGGTATCACCGCGGGCGTCACCAGCAAGCTTGGCCAGATGCGCAACTCTGAGTCCTTCCGCTCTATAGAAGAGCGGGTCGGAACTGCTTATGAGAATGTTAAGGTAAAAACACAAGTACTGTTTTAACCATAACCCTGGTTTTAAAAAGAAACTAATTTGATTCCTTATAAGTTTTACCGGTATTAATGTTGTGGAACCAATCATGGACTTTAAGGATTTATTTTTTTTAGTCTTTTAATTTTGAATGACTTACCCTGTGAACTTGAGGAAAGGTTTAATTGATTAAAAAGTCTTCAAGTAATGATTGAAAGCGCTTTAATTAGATCAGTTAATAAAGAAAACGTTGTTATTCGAGAAAAAGTAGACCCTGTTTGAGTATCCTTATGTGGACAGCTCAATTTCCAATTATGGACACCCCTTCATGGACGGTTTTCAATCATGGATACCCCATCATAAACGGTTTCCAATCATGGATACCCCGTCATGAACGGTGAACGATGACGATGAACGTTTAGCTAAATTAACAAATTCAATTTTAAAAAGAGATCTTGCATGGTACTTAAACTTATTTCTAAACGAATTGTGTGATGTTTTATGATCCATTTATGTCTGGTAAGAATGGGTGGTCATTCGCTTCGGTGCCATGTCTAAAAAAAACCAAATCCAGTAATGGATGACCAGTGACGGTGGTTCATTACTGAGTAGACTTAAAATAATGTAAAATGCTATAAAGTAAATTAAAAGTCTGGCTTTATAAGGACGGCAAATACAAGTAAAGCTATTTAATGACAAAATCCGATTATGGACCTTTTGTCCATGATTGAGTAAACAACTAAATGAGATCCAGTAATAAATATAAACACTTAAAATTTTTCAATACATGTTATGTTATTCAGTTACGGTTATGTTTTGTTTAGATGCTTACAATAACACCAAAACACACAATAACCACAGAAGTCACCACACTCTTAAATATCAGAATCAAATATGATTATAGAAAACTTATCTGAGGCGCGGTCCTTAAGAATTCAGTTTTTTTTTTAATTTGTTACCATCGTCTTAGTTCGCACCGCGATATTGGCGAATGACGATGGCCGCCAGCTATCGAAATCGAACTGACGTCTTCCATTTGGATCAAAAATTATAAAAAATTTTGAGAGTGAAAAAAAAATTAGCGTTTCCTTATTTTTCGCGGTATAGTTCATGATTCGTGCGCTGTCCATCATCGGTTCCTCTACCTTATCCTTTCGATTATCTTGGTTACTTTTAAAGTATGGCTCTCGCCAATGACAATACCAATGGCATTCAAGAACAGACAAATAAACTGTGACTGTTGTGAACACATTTATTTTTTTAATTTATTGCGTTATCTGTGAAAACATTGTAACTATAGAGTTCCTAGGTTTTCGCGATTGTAACACATAGGAACTGAAACTATTTTTCCGGATTTAAATCAACCGTGACCATGGGGCCTGTAAAGGGCCCGACCGACCGATTGGTTTGGTTAAAAAAATCTATAAACGCGATTGAAATCCGGAAAAATAGTTTCATTTCCAACATTGTAACTGTTTATAGTGTGAACACAAATACGCTTAATGCTGCCAGCTGTATCCTGTATATTTGTTGTCACTTCGTTTCGTTATCATGTGCAAAAAAGGGCAATCCATTTTATAAACCACAAAAACTTTAGATTGTTCTTCATCTTCAATGACGTATGGTAAAATCAAAGTCATGTCAATAAAATATATTGATCTATATTCCAGGGGAAAGTGGCATCTAGATCTAATTCTACGCAGAGCTTCGACGAGGCGCTGCGCGACGCCAGTCGCGCGGCCAGTGGCGCCACGTCACCCACAATCCCCGAGAACAAACCGTTGCCCTAATGCGGCATCCTCGTAACTACACTCCCCGCACGGCCTCTGTGTATCTCAAAAGATCATTCCACATTCTATACATATTACACAACCAATATTTCAGCATTGACGTTGGATAATTTCGTTCCGACGCTTTTATCGTTACGACAGCGGTGTAGTTGCGATGTTTAACGGTGATTCTCCACAAACTGGAAAATCGCTCATACAAAGCTGTCCTGGCATTTTTTTATACTAATGTTGAATGAAACGTATCGACATCCAGCTAAATAATTACAATTCAGTGAAATTAAAGTACACTCAAAACTAAACCAAACCAACAACAAAACAAAGACTGAAAATAAAGTTTACTTAGAAAATCAAAAACAATGTCTGGAGACAGTTTACGTACACTAACTAAGGCGGATATTCTATGACCACTGTCCGCTTCCGTAGTCAGACCCCAATTACCTTCCATCTCTACCGTCACTTGCTCATCGAAGCACAAACTCATGGGTCACCGTTTAACTGTAGTCATGGTGCGCGGCAGGAGTCTGTTTATTTGGATCAAAGTTAATGTTCCGTCTTATATTTGACGGGCATAGCGATTTTCTAGTTTAGAGAGATTCCACCATATGTAGCTAAATGTCGCAATTGTTGTGTATACATAGCACTGTGAATATCATGTAGCGCAGCAGCAAAATGGGTACACCCCTACCACGAGATCACTAATCTATCATGTCAAACCAAAACACTGCAAGTTTTTCAATAGAACAAGCTTATTTTCCTAAGTATAATTATACTGGTTGGATATAATTATTTAACATCTAATGTATGAAGTAAATGTATCTTTGTCATTAACGCGAAAAATTACAAAAAACCGAAAAAGTTTTTTGCTATTTCTCAAAATGCTGTTTTAGTGTATTGGTTTGACAGCGTAGTAATGTATAGTTATTTTACGTATATACGATCATTATGTTTCATACATTTGCACTCCACCTAAATGAATTGTAACTTTAATTGCACGAACTCTCATTTATGTCCAAGATAGTCGACCTATTTTGAAAATTGTCTAAATTAATTTTGAACATAAAAATGTCGTAATACGTACCTAATGAGTTTGATAAGATCCGAGTACTTTTGATGAATACAAAAACGGAAAAACTGTAAATGCACTTTGTGGGTTCATCTTGTATGATTGCATTGACCGCAAAAGTAGCTTACAATTACAAGACCGGTTGCGCAATTTTAGTAATGCTGGTTTGGTAATCTGTCTGTCTGGCGGTGCAGTTGCAAAATAGGTGCAATAATACATTTCAACGATGAATTATCTACGTGTAAGAAAATTGGAAAAGAGAGTAGGTTTTTGTAGTTTTTTTTTTTAAAGTATTTAGGGGTTTATTATTTATAAGCCACGAATTATTATACTTATGAGAATTTATATGTATGCGGTGTATTGTGTATCAATGCTAATTAAACGCAAACAGTATTTGTAGCGGTATTGTTTCTTGGTGGCCCATTCGTAATCTAAGACTGTTGTGCGGGTATTTTAATCACGTTTCTTTGAATTTGTGTCTAAAGTTGGCCTTCTATCACTATTACAATGTCTGTTTAGAAACGTTCATTCACTTTTGAGAAGTCGTAAGTTATCCAATAACGGAGAATATAATTTTCGGGGTACTCTACAAATTTCGCAAGAGTTATCACTTTTGTAAATTATATTATAAGTACATGTTGAAATCGCAAAGTTGTAAATCCGTGTTATATGAACATTATATCGCACCCCTCATGGAAGAATGCCATAAATGTGAAGTTACTTCAAAAATGTTTATTGCTTCATTAGATAAATATAACCCACATTCTCTCCAATTCTTGTAACTCTTATCGACAATATTACTCGATATTCGATAGTCTATATTGAGAGGATGTGGGTTATATTTTTCTGTATCCAATGGAGCAATAAACATTTTTGATGCACTTTCACTTTGCCATTCTTCCATGAGGGGTGCGATATGTGTGTAATTGAAAGACACAGTAACTTGCCGATGCCTATTAAGTCCAGTTGGAAATACATATAAAAGATATTTTTATAAGATGCTTAGCTTTCCTTTACTTATAAATATTTCCACTATTTACATTAATTACCTTTGAAGATGGTAAATAAAATTTATGTATTAATTCATGTGTTTTTCTCACTACTTATTTTCCTCAGTAGGGATCTGCTAGCTAGTTCTTCGGTATAAGTACAGAAACAAAAAAATACATCAGATTTAAAATGCACGGACAGTATATTGATGTTTCAGTGTATTACAGGCGGATATGCTAATATTACTGCTCAATGGTGAAGAAACGTTAGTGCGATGCATAAATGTCGACTTGCAAACTGAGAAACAGTTAATTTCGCACACCATAGCTGCTTCACCACAAAACATGGGATTGAATGTTTCAATCTATCATGTAAAGAACATCGATACATACAAATGTCTTACATGGATTAGTGTGAAGACATCACACATGGCGCTATTTTTAAAATATTAACCAACCAACGGTCTTTCACCACGATAAGTATAATGAGTTACCCTGCACGAAGAAATTTGGAATCTATTTTATACAATCTATAAGCCTTAATTGGTGGAGTCTACACAATTAAAGCAACTTGTGTGCAATAAAGATAAAAATATTACACAAATGTCCTACATACAAGCCAATGTTAATATTCAATAATTTTCGAAAGCGAACACAATATAACTTAATATTAATACATTATATCAAAAAGTTCGAAGTGACATTATGGAAGCTCGGAAAAGCTGGATATGCTAAGAAACTAATGAATATTTATTATAATTCTCAATTTATCTTAAACAGAATCGTCTAAAAAGATGGTAAAAAAAATATGAAAAAATATATTTATGATTAAGCAAGTGGAAGTTCGAATAGGCTCGGGCTCGGCATACCGCTGCCAGTGGGAGAGAAGCGTATTAGTATATATAAAATTATTTATTAAGACTTTGCAAACGATTCAGAAGTGCCTTTTCTCAAGCTACCGAAATAAACAACGTGAAACAAACTTAAATAGATGCCTATCAAGCGAAGACGAGACATAAATAAGACGTTATACCGTACCATAATAGATTACTGAACGCATAGACGCTAGAGCACCTAACATACGCTTCTTTGCCGAGCTTCCCTTCCCCAAAAGCTGATATTATATACCAGCAAGTAAAAGATATAAAATTTATAGAGCAATAATAAAAGAAAGAAGTGATTTAACTTAAAACCTAAAAGGCGGTAAAACAACCTTATAAATTTTTGGCCTCGAAGGGAGTGCTGAAAATATCTTCGGTTTTACACAGAGCGGTATTGTAATTGTGATTTATCTTCCTGTTAGCACAGGAAATGCAAAGTTCGAAAGATCCAATTATGTGAAATAACTATCTTCGACTAGAAAGGTGTTAATTAATGGTGAAAATTATCATTACTGCAATACCTCCCTGTGAGCTGGGACTAAAGCATTTATTGGGTGTACTGCTGAATAACAGGTGACCTCCAGGTACATACTACATAATTAAATAAACTACATATGTAATTACTTTTCTACGAATAATCCTCGGCGTGTATAGCAGTATTAATTACAATAAAACTACGCGTGTAATTAATTGATTTAGCGCCAATAACAATTATTTAAAAATGACACGAGACACATACAACTATGTATTGAATAATAGATAAATAGCTAGAATAATTGCTCAGTATATTGCCACATTTGTCTTTAAATTGTGCTAGAGAAGATTTTTTTTATGTAGTGAACTGGAATTTACAACAGCGTATTGGTGCTGTCGTAACTGATGTAACAAAAGATAGCTATTTCATAATGGATAAGGGAATTGTGCTTTAACAGTATGAAAGTAATTTTAGTTAACCATATTTAAATCCCTTAATGAAGTTAGATAGATTTTAGGAATTAAATTTGCGACGACAGGCCCTCTATTGAGATCATTAGCTATTTTAAGTATATATTTTCCAAAGCGTTACAATGTTATTTATAAATCCATAAATAACTATGGATGTATTTTGTTTGAAATATTTACGAGTTTCATAATAGAGCCTCTCATCATTTACATACAAATATTTAGTTACAATACTACATTAATCCTGATGTATTGAAGTAACTTACATTAGTCCTGATGTATTAAAATAACAATTCTGTATGTGAGAGGTAAAGAACCTTAAAGGTCAAATAGTATTTTTTTACTACTGAGTGTTTTAAAGAGAACGAGGTCTTAATTAGGCATTTAAAATCAATGTTAAGGTAAAATAAAATATATTAAATAAAAAAAACAACGATAGGACATGATGTATTTTACCATTGCGTGATTCCTAAATGCCACAAAGGCTTTCTAAAACAATGTTAGTAAAAATATATAAACTCTTAACGTCTTTTTCCCTTTCACCTACAGAATTGATGTTTATCATTCACTCAATACAGATTATTGAATTTCACGTTTACAACAAAAGTATTAGTTTTGAAAAATATTCGATTAATTATTGATACACAATTTATATTTGCTTATTCAAAATACATGCTTTTGGATTAAAGGATTTTACGGACTTAAATCTAAGAACTTCCGTTTCCCTTGTTTAGATTCATAATTAATTATATTTAAAATAATAACTTATATTATGTTTATGCCTATACCTAAGTTATGACGCGCAATATAAGTCCCGTTCAAAGGGAATTTGGCAGATAAAGTATTTAAGTAACAAGACATAGCACAGTGATACGAAAGTAAACAGCAACCAAAATTATAACGCCCTGACTCATATTACATAATGGCATACGTAAATAATTTATGTTAACTTTGTATTCCTACTTTAATTTGATCACCCTAATGTGTATCGGCACACTATAAATAGATAGATCAATACACGCTGAAAGTTTAAAGGTATTTTAAAGTTTCTTAAATATTGTAATTATGTAAACTAAGTGTGTGTGAAATTGTTTTGTGAAAGAAATGTACTAACCGTTCATATGCTATTATGAATATCGTTTATAGTAAAGGTCTAAAATTTCACTCAACTATAAAAACAAAAGTTAGCAGATGCCGTTACCACAACAAACACAGTTAACTACTTAAAATCTATATTGAATCCCATAGAATCGATATTCTTATAAAAAAATCATTGAACACTGAATATTTAGACTGACGCCGAGGTAAATACAGGTGGAATAACACCTGGATGATTTTTGGTTTATAAACTCTAAATTAAAATTTAAAATTTATTAAGTTAATTTAAAAGTTCATTGTCCACACTAAAACTAATTTCTTAAGTGGGCGGTTATATTGTCAGAGTAGTATAACGAAAATCTACGATATTACGTAGTAAATAACAATAACAAATAATTAAAGCGAAACATTTGTCAAGACGACAAAGGGGAGGGGGTCTGTAGAAAACGTAGAAATGTGAAGATGCACACTTATTTATTTTTCTCATTTGCAAGCTGAGAAATTTTATTTTTAGCAATGGGCGATGGCCATTTTAGGGTTAAATTATAAACACGAGAAACTAAAAACTCTTTGTTGAGAATACGTAGAGCTTCGTCGTTACGATGCGCATCGTGATTGTACTCGCAAAGGATTCTATATTCAGTACACACTAGATCCCAATAGTGCAACTCGAGAATTCAGGAATATTACATGCGTAGTATTCACTTTCGATACTATATCTTCGCCCGCAAGGTTGGCTTTTTTTCGACGGTGCTCAAGGCTTTGCCAGATTATATTCGGCTGGCCCTCAATCAATCATAGTTGAACAAGAGTCGTAAATAACTTTAGAGTCGTAAATCAGCGTTCTAAAAAATATTACTCAAATCTTAGTAAGAATCTTTTAATGCTATGGTCTAGAAGGGATGTTTTTTATTTAACGATAACGATACCGAGTGAAAAAATAAAAAGTATGGAACAACTGTTTTTTTCGCTAATTTTGAGAGTTTTCAATGTAAAAGTTGTTCGTATAGATGAGTAGAATCACCCTGTAAAACATCGTGAAATATAAACTCACCTTTATTTCATACTCAACTACCACGAAAATGTGTGCCTTTATTTTTACTACACAGTTTATTACTATTTATTTACATGTGGAGATTGAGATGTAGCTGTAATTCATTTGTTTAAACCTCGAACGACCCCTGAATAACATTGAGTCACATTACATAAAGTAACAAATAAAACTACTGTACTACGTTTACAACATCTTAACAATTGGACAAAGATTTAAATCAATTCTAATCTGAGACACCTATGAACATTTAATTAAGCACTGGTCTGATAGATTCGTTTTTGAACATTCTCTGTAAATTAGTCAAGATATGATAAACGTGACACTTAAAAACCACAAAAAACTGACTTTAAAAATAAAAACCGAAGAATTTGAAGGACTTCGTACATTTTATTAAAGTGGTCATTTTTAAAGCTTTATCACGATTTTTATTTTGGTAGTCAGAATTTATAACTTCAATACATTATAAAGAAACAATAAAATACACTATATTAAAGTATGATTGTCTTGATCTTTTGCGATTCGCATTGTAAATATGAATTTTTATTTTCGTAACCATATTGGCCCTAGCAATAGACCTCATTTTCATAGCTCGAAATGTAATTCTAATGCCTAACTGACTTTCGATTTAGCAGCTGATTACAGTAAAAACGGAGTTATAGAGGCTTAGATTATTTCACTCCACTTTCAAAGTAATCGAAATATTCGTACGGGCAATAGAAAGCTGCTCTTTGTGCTGCACACTTTATGCCATGCCTTTATTTATACCTTACGTGACAGGCGGATATGGTTACGAATACGATATAATTTAGCTAGAGATCTGTTGTACATTACGAGACCGATCTAACAAGTTCTACAATATATTAAAACTTTACCCTTACACGAAAAGCAGCAAAGAAATACATTTAAAAATATATTTATTTTATTTCATTCCGATATATTTGTCTTTGGGCAATTGAGTCTGCGAAGTGTAAGTTTAAGGTAAAGTTTTTATTAATGCAAACTAAAATCTGAGAGGCTCTTTTTAAGCATAAACTGCGCGGAACTAAGCGTAATTAAATAATGTTCGTGTCGATAGATGTCGCCTCTAGATAAATACAATCGATCTTGGAATGCCACAATCGCTTAAGCGAAGTACATTACTTTTTTAGTGACTGCGTGCACTGTAATGGCGCGCGCCATTGCGCCTGGTGTACGATCCTCGCTACAGCCGGATTGGTGGCTTCCCTCCCCAGAGTCATGCTCCTTCTCCACCAGGTGGTATCTTGCACGGAAGGCCACGAGATGCGCGTAGTAAGCCGGTGCCGGGATGGACACGGACCGAGTGCATCGCACGTACGTGTGGCACAGCTGGTAAGTCAGGCACTGCAGCTCGTCCGAACCGAAGTGATTGTCGTCCCAGAGCACGTGGTAGTGAGATGGCCTCGAGGTTCCCTGTGTAACAAAGTATACACTATAAAAAAAAGAAAAAAAGAAAGTGAAATATTGTATACAAAAGTATACAATATTTCACTTTTTGTGAAATATTGTATACAAAAGTATACAATATTTCACTTTTTGCTTTGGGTTAATACCGCCGACATTAATAGAATCTTTGTCCTGCAGAAACATGCAATTAGGGTAATTTACAATCTAGGCCCCAGTGTCTTTGAGAGATAAGTTTCACTAACGTCACAGCACATTTACGAAAATGTTATTTATGTTAAGAAAAATATTCTATTTTTTACGAAAAATAGTGACAGTTAATGTTATGTATTAATACGAGGAATAAAAATAAACTAGCTGTTTTTGACAGTTATCTCATCTAGTCTCAAATTCATCTAAGGGTCAGTGTATACGCTTCTGTAATAAGATTTCGATTGATATTCAAAATTTGCCATCTACACTCATCCGAAGAACAAAGTCCGATGTGATTATACAGCGAAAAGAGGATAAATACATAATTTCGTTATTCAAACTTAGGATTGTATTTTGAGAATTTTTATACCTCATTTCGTTTCGGAAATATAAAATCGAACAACAGTCGATCTGACATCCACAGCGAAGAAGAACGAACTAAATGTACTATGTCCTGAGAACAAGTAGTCTTGCACATAGATCGTTGTTCTACGGATGAGTCGATCTACGAGGTTTAAAACTATTGTGAAACAAAAACTTTACACTAAAGGTTATTACACAATTAGTGGTGCTGGTGAAATTACAGACACATGGGAGTTGTCAACTTATGTCTCAGGGTGACGGGCGCAGTAGCAGTGCCCTTTGCGTTTTAAAGCTCCGGGTGGCACTGCAACTGTTACGGACGGGCATGTCACTTACCACCAGACTCGTTCGTCCCGTCACTTGGTATTATATAAAAAAAATGCCTAATCTGTCCAAAATTAACCTATATACCATAACTGTTAAATATTACAGGATATAGCATTAAAGAATAGTCTACTATAAATTACAAATACAATACCTGAATGCCCTGGTGGCTGCAGAGGTAGAAATCAAACTCGGTGGGATGTGTAATGCCGAGATCGACAGTGGTACCCGCTGGTATGTTACCCGACTTGCCCGACTGCTCCTTCTTATCGGCGCAGAACAACCGCGTGTGGTGCCGCTTTTGTACCACAATGAACGTAATTCCCGGCTTGTATTCCGCTTCCAACTGGCAATCGAGACAACAATATATTTACAAATTTTCTTTTATTTTTCACGTTTTCGCTGCAGTTTAGGTTAGGAATTGGCACAAATTTATGTTTGTATATTTAAATACAAGTATTTTGGGTTGACACATTACATTAAATATTTTACAAACTTTGTGTGAAGGAATATAAGACACTTCTTTAAACATCCAAAAATTTCTTCAATTAGTGTTGAAACTACTGGGTGGATTTCGATAGGAAGACAGACTGAGACACACCTCATAGGTACGGTTGAAATGTCGGGACGAATAGCGTCTTTCAAATATACCAAATCGACTCAAGATACAATGGAAATAGACAAGTATTAAAACGTATAAGTCAGTTTCACTGAATATAAATTTTACTGTACCTTAATGCAAGCCTCACGCACTGCAGTAAGCTCGTGCTGCAGCACGTGTATGAACTGGCCCTCGGAGATGCCGTCACGATACATGATGATACGGTGCGGCTTGAACCCGCCCGTGCTCTTGTAGAACATTATCAGCAGTTCTTGCACCATGCTACTCATCTCGTGAACTATCTCTTGCCTGGAATATACATCGCAATCTCTGTGGAAAGGTTGTAGCAATACATATTGTTATATTTCAGACAAAGACAAACAAAGCTGCAAGATAAGCAAAAACACACTTTATCTCTTTTTCTGTTTGTCGGGTCGTTATAAGTTGTGAATATTTTTCTTCTAAGCGACTGATTTTACCACTAGTGGAGAAGTGAGGAGGTTAACTTGGTTGAAGGGGAGGAGAACAAATTCTACTTATATGCGTAATTAACAAATTATTTACGATGTAACTTACCGATGCTGTTGTACACGCACAGTAGCGGCGTAACGTGAAGGGTGTGCGTCCATAGAGCCGACGACTGCCGCGATTGAGGGCTTCTTGTTGTCACCCGCCGGCGGATGTGTCACATCCACGCCCAGAAATATCACCGGCTCATTGAATACCTAACAAGAACAAACTTCATTGTTACTGCCAATACTTATTGTTAAATAAAAACAATACATTTCAATGGTAGAATACATTACTTCAAACTCTTATTAGTAATGCAGATTCTCATATGAAGGATGATCACAAAGATTAGTGAACGATGATTTTTTCACGAAAATATTGACACGATCAAATTTATTAATATACATTTTATCATTGACTTATAAATAAATGGACGACGGGTCTAATACAAAAACCACGAAAAAAATGTCCCAAGTCAACCTATTCGAAATTTAAATTGTAATGTCATCGCAGTATCGCGCTGTCAGTAGAACAAATGAAGACTAAAGCGGAGTGTCGCGCTCTGTATACGATTTTAGCGCCTTACAAGTGCGGACACTTTTTAGCGCGGACCCGACGTCCATATAATTGTAAGTCAATGCATTTTATTTTGTTTCCTTCGTATCGGTCCGTGGAGTTAATTTCTTAGAAATACTCACAGTACCTAGTTTGAAATCAAGTAATTTTTAAAGTAGTGAATTGCGTCGATCTTAAATTTTCTAATCTAATAAAAACATATTATGGATACATGAATGACGTGTCTTCCCCTTGTCTAATGTTAAAAGAAATTTTGTCGATATACAGGGTGTCCCAAAACTCAACGTCAAGCGGTCACTAGGCGAGAGGCCAGGTTATATCAGTTCTGGTAAAAATTAAAAAAAAATCCATGTCACTTAGTTAAGTGATAATAGGCATTTTTTTGAAAATGTTGAAAATCGATACCCTAGACTACATGTTTAGGTACTGTCATGTAAAATCCATTGTAAAAACTTTGTACCCTTGTAAGAGTAAAATAAAGATTATTATTATTATTACTGTCATCACGAATTTTCAAATTTTGGAGTAATTTTTTTTAACGTCATCATAAATAACCATGCTATTTATTGCAGTCACAAATCAAACAATAAACGTTATGAGTTTAGTAAAAAAAAAAATAAGTTTCATTGAGTCGTAGCTTAAAAAAATATGTCAGCTAGCTTTGACACTTCATTTTTTTTTTAAATGTACTACACTACCCTGGGCAAGTTATTTTAAAAGATGGCCCATATAATCAAGATTTCAAAGTGGTACAATACTTGCCACTCTTCATTCCATAAAAAATATTATAACTTATTTTTTGCAAAAGGAGCTCGTTTCAAAAAAAACTCATGCCATGATAAATAATACTTTTGTGTGCTCAGAGATTGACTTTAACATCGTGGACGTGAGATGGTCATATGTGATAGAGTGAGATGGATAGTGACAACGCATTAAACAAAATAATCTATCCTAACACATGTGAGTGTGTCAACTTAATAATTAGTCGATTGTTGTATTATAATAAATTTTAATCAAAATTAAACGAATGAACTATCCCATACCGTGCTTGAACTTCATAGAAATATTTAGTATATAATCTAAAAAGACAATACACTATTTATCTCCTCTCTCTCTCTCTCTCACTCACTCACTCACTCACTCACTCACTCACTCACTCACTCACTC